TCAAAAGTTTCCATCCTACAGAAACGATTTTATTTTTTAATGAAGTCAAAAAAATCTTGGAGTATTTGTAGTTCGTTTTTTTTCCTATCCAATCATGGACAGAAATAACCGAAAAGGAAAAATAAAATAAAAATGGTTTGGTTCGAGTGTAAATCTGTGCGTCAAATGAGGTGCATTTGTAAAGTCTTTTTACACCCACCCGACAACCAACTGCTATGCAATACTACTGTCCCATTATCAATTTGTATTTAATGGTGAATGTAGCCTGACGCCATGACCAATATTTATCAATTAAGTTTCAGTAGGGGGTAGGGGGGTTTGGAAAAAAACTAAAGGAATTAAGTTTTTTATCCGACATCGATCTTTTGACGTCGTCCCTTAGATATCAACTTAGATACTAAATCGTTACAGCGCCAACACCGGTGGGTGGCCGACGGTCGTTGAATGGGGTAGACCAAAAGGTCACCAGTTTGCCTTCTCCATGCTGTTTTTACGATGAAAATCGAGCGAACGTTGTAAATACGGCTAGAATTTTAATTTTTGTTCGAGTCTACATGCTAATATATTTGTTTATTTTCTGTGCATATACATTTCGTTCCTATTTAATTCTTCCTTTCGTGATTGGAAGACGATTACTAAAAATACAGCTGTAAATTGAAACCACTGTAGTTGCGTATCGTGAGCAATAAGTGGCAACAATGTCAGGCGACGATGAATTCAGGCGATTGACACATTGCCATGAATACACTTGATAACTGCTTGCAGACTTCCAGTGGTCATTGTTTATGTTTGGACTCTTGAAACAATAGCAAAATGAAGGGTTGGGCAACTACTCTTTTGTTTAGGCTTGGGAAGAACAATGCAAGCTTTTTACAAATAATTTCAGCTGAATGTACGTTGGTGGGCAGGTGTTGAGAGTTACTAGACGGCCGTAAAACTTGATGGGCGGGCCGCCCACCTAAAACCCCTTGTGGGGAACACTGTCGAGAAAAACTTCTGAATAGTGATTTCCACAGAATTATTCTATTATTGACCAGAAGACTGCCATGGAAAGTAACTGACACCATACAAGACTTACCTGTGCGTCAATGACATAGATGAGCGCACCACATCCACCAAAGATCATTTCGGAATCAAATGTGGGATCAAAAAAATCTATTTGCCCTGGGAAATCCCAGATTTCAAATTGTACAAAGGAACTATTGTTGATATCTGAAACAAAATTAAAAAAAATAAATATCAATTTCATCATAGTCTCAATAACATGGATCTTAGCAATTGAGATACAGAACATGAAAGCAAATTGTGGGGTTGTGCAACAATTTTTTGAGAAACAAAGATTCTCAATTTTCATTGTATCATGGTTTTTCATTGGTTTCTACACTAGAGTCTTCACTTTGCTCAGTCACATATGTGTAGATATGCAAAACTTACCATCTTTCACTATTTTATTTGTACTTTCTAAAAATAACGTTTCATTTGGAGACATCTTATGGAACACAACTTTCTGGATTGATGATTTCCCACTCCTGCAAGCATTAAATAAAATATTTCATAAATATTTAATATTAAATTATTCATCAAATAATGAAATATTATAACTGCACTATGGAGCAATATAAAACACACCAATACCAAAGGTCAAATGTCAATATTGTTGACAAATGAACAGCTAAAGCAAAACTCAACTTGCAAATAACAGACAGTATAAGTCATCCACGTACCAGGACACCAAAAACCATCCTCAAACCAGTCATACCTAAATACCAATAAAACTAGTGCTATTGTACACATTATTTCATGTAATGTATATAGATTTTTGTCTTGAATATCGAATTTTATTGACTGTAAAGTGTGAAAACAACCATAATAAACATGGCATACTCCTCGCTGCCCCAATTCTTTGCATATCATTATCAAACAGGAACAACAGCCTTAAGTAGTGAACATGATGTAATGAAACAATTTTTTCTGTTATTCTCAGTAAGGGAAGAGTAGGAAATCAAACGGGCGGTTCACCGCGGCTCTCCGCGGTACACCGGGGAGAGCCGCGGACTGCTTATAATTAGGGGTCTCTACCGCGGTGGCCACCGATACCGGTTGCAACCGCGGTCGTAGGAAAGGTGTGAAATACGTACTTAACAGTTTCCTTTGTGATTCCATGAGTCTTTGTTTCAAATAGCTGTTTTTAAATCGAGCAGGTTACCAGCATCGCTGGCATGGAAATACTAAGCATATAGTAATATTATCGGCCCACGTATTTTATTAATATAAAAATCCATAAGTCTAATGCTGTATACGAATTGTTGTTGCGTGAAACAATGTTGTATTTTATGCATGTATTTATCACCAATTCCAAGAGTAAAAGTCGTAACTTTCGAAGGTACGAGTATTATGACTCGTCCATACATTTCACTTACGTTTGTTACACTTGAATAAAGTCTA